CATCGAGGTGCTGCTGGCCCAGTTGTCACCCTGCCCAGGAGCTGGTGCCCTTGGAAGGATCGAAGTAAGCTCTGTGGGCTTCGAGGTTTTCAGCTGTGAGTTGGGAGAAGGGAGTTCAGGCCCCACTGTCAGCAGGGCTGTTGGCTGGGAAAGGCCTGCTCCTCACCTGTAGGCTGCAGAGGGGAACGTGTAGCAGAACTTGTATTTGCCGGGCTCGGCAGCCCTGGGTTCCCGTGTAGCCTGCGTAACTGCTCTGACCTCATCCGTGTGTAGCATGGGGGTAATGACATTCACCCCGCCCGGACTCACAGGGTCAGAGATGCTGCTTGTAAAGGGCGTGGTGCGGGCCACTCAGCACCTAGGGGCTTCGGCCAAGGGCAGGTACCAGCCAGGTGCCTGCTCCCTTCCTTTGCTGCCCCTTGGAGGGCAGAGCTGGTGCTGAAGTCCCCAGAGCTGCTCTCCTGGGGTAGGCTCTGCTCCCTGTGCTCTCAGTTCCGAAGTGCCACCTCCCCACCTGAGCTGAGCGGCTTCCTCTGTGGGCAAACAGGAAGTCACTTACCTTGAGGGAGGGAGGAAGGGCTGTCTGGCAGGGCTGCCTGCCCACAGCTGTGGTCATGTCCGGAGACTGGGTGTCCTCTGGGCCCTGGAGGATGGTGGGGGATGGTGGCTGGGTAGGGAACCCAGGAGTGAGGGGGATTGCAGGGGACCAAACTCAGTGTTGGCAGGGGCTCTGGGGCACACGCCAGTTTCCCCTGCTGTGCCCTCACTGGGGCCACACGCCCTCCGTCCTTGCTGGCACCAGGGGTCCTCAGCCCAAGGGGCTCCTTGCAGTCTCAGGAAGGAGATGAAAGTCCTAGGACATGGAGCAGAGCAGGTGGCTACAGGAGTCTGGGAGTCTCTTCTTGAAGTTTGCTGCCCGCAGGAACACCCGCTAGCCATTCCCCAAGGCCCCAAACACACACACCCTCACATACAAGACAGGCAACTTGGAGGAGAGGGAGAGGCCATCTCCTCTCCCCTTGGATGGGGATGGAGGTGGGCAGGGAGGAGGAGAGGAGAGTGGACTCACCGTGGGCTTGAGGCCCTGCACAACAGGGTGAGCCAGCCAGCCCTGGCTCCTGGCTGTTCACAGTGAAGGGGAGGAGATGGCCACTGGCCCCTCCTGCTCAGCCCCATTCCAGCTGCAGGGAACTGAGGGCCACCGGGAGGGTGGAGAGGCTGGAGTCGGGGGGGGGGAGGCTGGCCCTGCCCTCCTCTCAGGGCCACCTGGCTCCTGTCCCATTGCCTATACCCTCCTTCCCCACTGGTCGGTCCCCTCCCCGTGGCCCCATCCGGTGGTCACTTCACTGCGTACGCATCTCCCTAGCCTTTGCAGCGGCATTCGATAGAGCCAACCACTTCCTTTCCTAAAGTTCTCTCTCTCGTCCACTGTGACAGCATCGCTTATGCTTTCTCACCTCCTTAACAGTGCGGCCCTCCCCCGTGGGCCCCGGGCCCCACACGGACCCACGTCCTGCTGGTCGCACATGCTGCTCTCTCCACTCCCGGTGTGTTTTTCCGTTGCCTGTTTGAGTAGCTCACAGATTCACAAGCCTAATATTTTAAAGAATCAACTCTTGGTTTTCTCCCTCAGCCTCACCGCCCTGATTCTGTGCTTTGAGCAGATGCCATCACCACCCTTGGAGTCGCTCTCGCCAGAAATCCAGGTTACCCTCCACTCCCCTGTCCTTTATGCTCTCATCTGCTTAAGTGGCAGGTCCTGCCAATCATCCAGGACATACTCCCAGGCCTCTGTGTCCCCTCCTCCACCACAGCCTTGCCTTCCAAGCCACGGTCCCACCTCCCCTGGACGGCCACTGAGCCCCCACTGGCCCCTGGTTCTCACAGAGCCTCCGACTGCCTTCTCCATTCAGCCGCTGCCAATCTTACCACTGCACTGAAATGCTCCCTGCCCTGTCATTTCCCCGCCGACCGTGTGTCCTGCCTACCACTGGGACCCTCAGGACCTGGCCCTGCCACTCCAGCCCACCTTCCCCTCACCCCTGGCCAAACTGGCCTCTCTCTGGTCCCTTCGCTCAGGGAGGCCTTTCTGGCTTCAGGTGAGGCAGTCGATGTGCCTAAACCTCCTGCCCCACACTCTTCACATGCCGGCTGCTCCAGGGGTTTCCTGTCTCCCGCCCGGTGAGCCCACCGCAGCTCTCTCATTCCTCCCCGCTCCTTCCCTCCCCGGTGCTGGCATTGCCTTATTCCTCTGCTGGTCTATTTTGTCTCTGGCCTGAGGGCAGGGATTGTGCTTGTTTCCTGGTGGGTCAGCAGCATCTCCTGGGTGAGCGTGTGGAGGAGGTGCTGGCTGAGCAATGGCCACAGTGCAGAGGCCCTGGAGGCTGCGGGCCGAGGGAAGGGCCTGCATTCTGCCCGGGCCACGAGGCTTCTGGCTTCCACGTGGGCAGTGTTGTAAGAGCACAGGTGCAGGAGGGGGAGCAGCTGGGGTGGGACGGTCAGGAGCCAGAAGTTGTGCCACTGAAGTTGAGGTGCCCCTAACATTTCCTTCTCAGAAAGAACAATGGGGGCCCCACTGACACAGGGGATATACGTCTGGGTTATAACTGCAGCTGACAAACTGTCACCCAGTGCGTCCCGTCCTACTTCCCACCTTAACCAGGTGTTAGGTCCTCAGCCTCCTGGGAGGGTGGCTGCTGCCAGAGAGCCCCGCCCAGCCATGGGCCCGCTGCAGCCCCCTTCCCTGCCTGTCTCCCTCCTTGCCCATGGGCCCAGGTCCTGTCTTCCCACCCCACCCCCGCCCTCAGGTGCAGGGCTGCATGGAGTAGTGAGGCTATGCCCCACAGGAGGAAGAGGCCGGGCAGGCCTGGGAGGCAGAGAATCCAGGCTCCTGGGGCCTGGAGTGTGGTGGAGAAGGTCTGGGGTGCTCTCCCTGTGGACCTCTCGGGGGGGGGGGACGGGGTTCAGAGGAGGAGGGCTGGAGCTGCCGCCCTGCCTCTGGCCTGTGGGCTGTGCGGCCTATGCTGTGTGGCTGGTGGTCTGAGGCGATATGTGAGTGGAGGAGTCTCCTGCACAGTGAGAATTAGGAAGATGAGCTGGGGTGGCTCGGGTGTCAGGACCCTCCGTTCACAAGTCGGTGGTGGTTGAGGCCGGAGAGGTAGGCTGTGCAGAGAGAGACAGGAGCCGTACAGCGGTGCCCTCCCCACCCCCACCTGGCTCAGTCTCGGACACCTGTGGCCTGTGTCCCGCGGAGGAACGTCAGGAATCCCATGTGGGAATGGACAAGAGTTGGTTCATGTGGTCGGAGGCTGTGAGCTCCCAGCCCAGCTGTGTGACTGCCCAGCGGTGAAGCCGGGGCCGAGGCCGCGCCTCGCTGAGCCTGCCTCCCCATCTGTATAATGGGTACAGCGAGCAGGTGAGAGGAGTGGCTGAGGCAGTAATGGGGGACACTGACCATGAGACAATTGTCATCAGGTGACAAAAGTAGAAATGTCAGTTGTTACGAGCAGAAGAGAACAGAGGTGCCCAGCCCGGGCCTCCTGTGTTCCCCCAGGTGCCCTGCAGGGCAGTGAGAGCTGGGCAAAATGAGAACCTGTGACAGCACCACAGGCAGGAAGGGGTGGGGCCTTGCACAGTCCAGGGCCTGCACCTTCCCCTTTCTCTCTCCCCGGCCCCGGGGCGGGTGAAGGGCGTGATTCTCTCTGGGGGCGGGGGCACGTGGGTAAGGGGCCGTGAGGCACTGGGCCTGTGAGTGAAGGCTCCTGCCTTGTGGGCAGGAAGTGAGAGGTGCAGCGCAGCTGGGGAGCCTGGGGGTGGGGGGGCAGAGCGGGAGGGTGAGAGTGTCTGGGGGTGAGGGGAGCGGAAGTCGGAAGCTCCAGCCACCACATTCGCCACTCACAGGGCAGACACACGCCAGTGGGACCTGCTCCCTTGGAGGTGAGCGCGGTGGGCCTGCTTGGGGTGGGCCTGGGCCCCAGCGGGCCATGTGTGCCCTGGGGCAGTGGCTGGGGCCGGTGGGCAGAAGGAGGGCGCTGTGGTCTCTATCGGGCACCTTGCCGTGAGCCTGGCCCGGGCTGTACCCCCACCTTTCACTTCCTTCTCTCTGTCCCCTCCTCTCTCACCCTTCCCGGGCCCATCAGGCCCTTGCTCTGCTTCCTGCCCCAGCCCCGCCAGAGCCCTTTGGGGTCTGCAGCAGTGACCTGCCTGATGTGACTGCTGTGGCTGGGTGCCCAGTGGGTGCTCTTGGGGCCTGAGGCCTCAAGGAAGCCTGACCCTCGATCTTTGAGGGAGAGAAGGCAGATGGGCCGGGGGGTAGTTTGGGGTGTGGCCACTGCAGGAGCTCAGACTCTGCTTTAAGGGGGCTCCTAGCCCCACCCAGAGGGGCTGGTTACAGGCAGGGCCCCAACTTGCCAGTTTGCCAGGTCACCTGATGGGCAGCAGAAGCCATGCTACTCAGTGTCCCTATGCGGGCACTCAGGCCTTCCAGGTGTGGCTGTGTCTTCACGGTAAAGCCAGCCACGGAGGGCCCACCCCTCACAGGGCCTGGTTCTAGAGCCTGAGATGCTGAAAGCTGGGCAAGGCCTCCTGCCATGGGCCAGGATTAGTCCCCTCAGAGCCTTCGCCAGGTTTGAAGGATGGGCCGCAAATGGGCCTGTCGCCCTAACTTCCTGGACATCTGCAAACGAGGAGCTGCCCAGCTCAGAGCCTGCTGAGCTGTTTGTGGAGTGAGGTGGGCGTCCCAGAGGGTTGAGGAGCCCAGCCTGGCCTGAGCTCTCCCCGTGCGCCTAGCCCTTCCCCGGGTCACAGCTGCTCTGGGACCTGTTGGTGCTCTGCCCCATTCTCTGCCCCATCATCCCTCCTCTCTGCCTGAGTCCTGGCTGGCCCTGACCCTGACCCCACCACAGGGTCCTCAGCGCCCCCAGAGCCTCCCTCCTCCCCCTCTCCCTCCCTGTGCATTTGCATGAGGGCTCCTGGTGTGGCAGGAAGTGGGGCCTGCCCTGAACTTGGCCTGCTCAGTCCCCAGGTTCAGGTAGGGGTGTCAGTCCTGCAGCTCCAGACAGATGGCTCACCCTGGGCTCCCGCCCTGAGGGCCGACATTTCTGACTGGGCTCCTCCACAGGGACAGCACCCAGCACTTCCTCAATCCCTGCACAGGCCAGGAGCCTTTGCTTTTCCATAGGAAGGAAACAACTTCCACAGTGAAAGGAAGGCGTGTTTGCTGAGTGGAAGCTTAAAAGGAGAGACACAGAGCCCAGGAGGAGATGCGGGGCTGGCTGGCTTGGAGGCCGCTGAGAGCGAGGTGCCCACCAGCCCGCTGCGCTGGGAGGGAGGCCATTGGTGTGTTTCGCTTCTCTGAGTGGACCCTCCACACAGCAGAGTGAAGGGGCAGGCAGGGCCCGGCACTGGCGCTGACCCGCTCCCATCTTGTAACAGGCCCATGGGGCAGCATCCTCCCTCTCATCTCCGTGTTCTGCAGACCAGGAAGCAGGTGGCGTTTCTGACCAGTCGGTGGCTGGTCAGCTGCCGTTAGGGTGTGAGTCCAGTCTGTGGGCCTCAGGTGTGGGCGTGCAGGACGCCCAGGCCATCACCTGTCCCAGGGCAGGCTGTCCGCAGCCTCTTGCAGGCAGAGGGTAAGCCGTGTGCCCAGCCAGGGGGAGAAAAGCAAGCGCAATCCTCAAAAGCACAGTTCAGCTCCCAGACGGGGTTCCCTCCTGTCCCAGCGTCACAAAGGAGCTGCCTGAACCCAGGCAGGTGAAACCCAGGTGGAGTGGAACGGGCAGTAGGGGTCTGTGTCCTGGTCCCCAGCTCAGCCCATCAGCGGGCACAGTTCTCCTCCAGAGACCCCTTGCGATGGGACTTGCCTGACGTAAATTTAGCTGACGAAGCCGGGGCCACAGTGGACCCCCTCACTGTCCTCTGGGGCGTCAGCATTTTCCTGGATCCTTCTCCCAGAACTTATCCTCGAACTTCTGAGCCCTCACAGGCCTAGAAAATGGGGGGCCACTGTATCTTAGGGGTGGCAAACCCCCCTTGTGAGACGTGTGGCAGACTTTCCCCCTCCTTTGTTCTGAGGATACCTGAGATGAGCTATTTCAAGAGATTTCACTAAACGCCAAGAGTGGAGAAAAAAGTAAACCTAGAAGATTCTAGATGCAGGAGACCAGGCACACCGCCGCCTGGGAGGTGCCACCTGCCCCCAGAATAGGCTGGTCTCCCCCCCTTGACCCTTGATCCTTAACCCTTGCTGGGTCAGGACAGGTGGGACTGCCTTGGTGGCCATAAGTCACTTCTCTCCTCAGGTCCTTCCACCTCTCCATTCAGTGAGGAGAAATTGAAAAAAGAAAAAAAAGGTGGGGCAGGGAGGGAGATAAAGATAGAGACTCAGGCAGATAGAAAGATGATAGATAAGATGATAGATAGATAGATAGATAGATAGATAGATGATAGATAATAGAGAGATAGATAGATTGGTAGTAATAGATAATAGGTAGATATTTCTTAACCCTCAATTGCCTGAAGGGTCCCCCAGTCTCCTCTCCGTCCAGCTGCTCCTGGGGAAAAGGGACACACATGAGCGTGTTGGCTGCTGGCCCCGCAGTGGCACCTAGGACAGCTCTGCCGCCTGGGCTTCCTGGGAGGAAGGTGCAGTTGGCTCAAGGGCAGCCTGGCCCTCAGGTCGGAAGGTCACATGATGCTGAATCTCCTCTCAGCCCAGGCTCCTCGGCCCCCAGTGAGTTTGTTGAGCATCTGTCACCCCTCCCTCCCCATTCTCACAAATACCTCCGAGTGACACCTCAGCCCACAGCCTTGCTCTGACAGTGGGAGCAGAGAGTGAGCGACTGCTCACAGGGCTTTGTGACTGCAGGGTTTTGAAGAGAGCGATGGCAAGAGAGTGCAGACCCATCCCCCCTGAGCTCCCTGCACGTTTTTGGAACTTGGCACTTTAGCGTCTCCATTAGTAGGAGACAGATGTGGCCGCTGTCCGGTTCCTGCAGCTGCCAGGAGCTCATGGTGAAGCAGGTGCGGTGGGTCATGTTGCGGGGTCCACACGTTCCTTGCACACCCCCGGGAGTGGGGTGGGGTGGGGCAGGGTTGCCGGATGAAACCCAGGAAGCCCAGTTATGTTTGTGCTTCAGAGAAACAATGAATACTTTTTTGGTACAAGTATGTCCCAAATATTGGGAATGGGGGAGTGGGTGTCCTATATTTATTTGCTAAATGTAGCAGCCCTGCCATGCTCAGCTGTGGCCCCCAAGTGGAATTGCCAGCTGGAGCCAAGACCCCTCCCACCAGGCTCTGCAACCCTCTCTCACAGGGGGTCCTGGACTTCGTAATCAACACTAAGGTTGTTTCTAACCTGCTTGGCTTGAAGCACAACCACACCCCCACCCCGAACTTTACAGGTGGGAAGAGCATGACATCAGCGATCACCGAAGTGATTCGATCTAAGCCAGGGCTCCTCAAACTACGGCCCACGGGCCACATGCAAATACAAGTATTGTATTTGTTCCCGTTTTGTTTTTTTACTTCAAAATAAGATATGTGCAGTGTGCATAGGAATTTGTTCATAGTTTTTTTTTAAACTATAGTCCGGCCCTCCAACGGTCTGAGGGACAGTGAACTGGCCCCCTGTTTAAAAAGTTTGAGGACCCCTGATCTAAGCGTAGAATTAACGTTGACCTACGTGGCTGCTTGTGTACATATTTATTTATAAGTACATGTTTGCAAAGATGGGTGTGGGACTCCTTCTTGTAAAAACTTGCAGGGCACCCTCTTCCCTCACCCTGCCCGCCATCTCCGTCCGCTGCTGGCATGTGAACTCTTCCTGTCAAGCGGGTTCTCCCGTGACAGCGGAGGTGTGACGTCACTGGTGCCGCAGGAAGGCCCTGAGGCTGGTCATGTGCAGATGCAGGTTTGGAGGGATGAGGACGCACGGGAGAAGAGTCTGAGGCAAAGGAAAAAGAAGAGATGTGACGAGGCCAGGGGCGCATTTCATCCGGGAACTGGGTGTCATAGGGCCTGTGTTTAACCTTTCCCTTCCTGAGAGCCAGAACGAGGCGGAGACAGTCCAGCGACGAGTCTCACAGGCCAGGGCGTCACCTGGCCAAGCTGACGGCCGTAAACCAGCCCCCGCCGGCCAGTCTTGCAAAGGACGAGGTTCTAGAGACAGGAGACTCTGGAGTGGGAGGAAGGCCGTGGACTTCTTTCCCAGGTGCCTGCTTCTCCCGTGACAGATTCTGTTCCGTTTTCCTCGACTCTGGTCTGTGTTTCTCTGGCTGCCACCTGCTTTGGCTCACGTGCTGCTTTTGGCTCGCCACTTATTTCATGCTGTTCTGAGGCACTTCCACCTCCCGCTGCTGGTCGTCTCTCCATTCTCCGGGCGAGATCCCTGAGAGGAGGACCTGCTTCAGCCCGTCCATCTCTTTCCGCTAAGCCACTCGGGCCCCTTCAGCCCACAGATGGGTGTCTTTGGAGCAGGCGGCCGAGATGGTGGGGTCAGAGGGCTGTAGAGGGCAGTGTACCCCAGCCGGGGCCATGGACATGGCCAGGACCCCCAAATGCATCTGACACACTAGACAGGAGCTGGCAGCCCCTTGCTGACCTGCTGTGCTTTGGGTATTTCCAGGGCAGAGTGGATCTCCGTTGCCCCCCTGGCCAGCAGGCCCCCTAATCCACACAATGGGACTGTGACGGTGGACACTGCTGGGGACCCCCACACACTTGCTCTCCGTGGATGATGGATGACAACACACTCTCTGAACATCCAGAACCTGTGGAATTTCTCAACGTCTGTTTGAGCGACAACCTGCAGCCCCACCCAGGAGTACAGCCCAGGGAAACGAGCGGCCGTCCTGACCCGCCTGGACCTTTGCAGGAACTGACCTGGGCATCGGACCCTTCTGAGTCCACAGGGAGGAGAGATGCTCCTGCCGGGGGCTCTAGAGCCGAGCCCGAGGGCCTGGGGAGCGGGTCTTCCCAGGGGGGCCCACAGCAGAACCCCAGCTCGTCCACGCAGGTGGTGTTCTGGGCGGGCATCCTGCAGGCCCAGATGTGCGTCCTGGACCTGGAGGAGGAGCTGGAGAAGACTGAGGGGCTCCGGGCCGAGCTGAGGTCCTGCATCCCCACGGCCCCGGTGGACCTCCCCCCGTTCCTCTCCAGCCCGGCGGCCCCCCTGGACCCGGGCCCCCCCGCCAGCCCTCCCTCAGGGGAGGACAGCAGCAGGCCTGAGGGAGAGAGCCAGACCCAGGTGTCCCCCGGGGAGGGGACACCAGACTCCTCCCCAGAGTGGGGTGCCGAGGAGGAGAGCCTGTTCTTTGACAACCCCCTCTTCCTGGAAAGCCCTGGCTCAGAGACCAGCGCTCCCAGAGAGCGCTTCTCCTGGGGGCACCCCGACTCCTGTGCTGACGAGGACGACGATGGGAGGCCTGAGAGCCCGCAGACCCTGGAGCCTCCTCTCCTGCTGGGCAGGGTGCCGTGGGGGCTGGGAGATGAGCCAGACTCGGGGGACAGCACGGCTGAGTCCAGCGGGCACACCACCCCTCCGTTCCCTGTGCCCACCTACAAACCACACTCCTTCTCCTGGGCCGAACCGGACAGCGCCCCACAGGCTCCCGCAGCACCTCCCTGCTGGGCAGGGAGCGAGGTAAGCCGGGCCTTGGGCACCCACCCAGAGCCGGGCCTGGGACACAGAAGGACAGGCCTTGCTCTGTGGTCGCCCAGCCCAGACACTCTCCACATGCCAGGGCCTTTGGGGACCCTGGAGAAATACGACAGGAAGGCAGGACCAGCGAGGCCTTGAGAATTATGGGAAAGTGGACAGATAGTGCCATGGCCACTGAACGTCCGCACCATTACATCCACGTCTCCATCTCGCCAGCTCAGGGGCGTGGCTGGGCACAGGGGGGTCGGTTAGTGGCGGGTGGGGGGACCGGCGGCCCCTCCAGGTGCAGCCTGTTCCTGCTCCTCCACAGACTGTACCCTCCCGCCTCCAACACACCGAACCCCAGCCGTAGCTGCAGGGGTCAGCGGCAAGGCGCCCTCTGCCCCCAGGAGGTTTCTGTCCAGCCGTCCTCTCTTTGCTTAGAGACTACAGCATTTTGTTACTTTTAGCTCACCATCTCTCATTCCTCCTCCCGCCCAGTGTCAGCAGGTCAGGCCCACAGGAGTGTGGCAGCGCGCTTGCTATCAGCTAAGACAGTTCTGGGGACAAGTGTGCGAGACAATAGGGGCACAGTTTTCCCGGGGCGGCCTCTGCTGAAGAGATAAGGCAGCTTCAGATAGCAGAGCAGGGCTGCGACTCTAATCTCAGAACCCAGAGAGCCGCGGAGGCCTGCTGCCCGGAGGGGATCCCCCCACCCAGACTGCCCCCCCCGCCCCCATGTGGGCTGGCCTCCTGGCTCCGGGGCCCTGGGGGTCACCGAGAGGAGCCTGGGGCCCTGTCCTCATCCTTGAGCTTGCAGGGTGCTCCCACTGGGCATGGCAGACCCTGCCCATGGCCGCCTGGGGGCTGTTGCCCTATCACACAGCCCCTCCTTGGGCTGGTGCTGCGGGAGGCAGGGCCCCCTGGGGGACTGTGGAGGGGAGAGGAAGGCCAAGAAAACAAGTCCGTGGACATGGCCTCAGGCTCGGAGGGTATGAGATGCCCTGGGGATTGCTTACCCGGGTCAAACCACTCTCCTCTCCGTTTCTCCCCTAAGACTTCACTGGCAGGCGGCCTTGGCCCTGCAGCATCCTCTGTGGACAAGGCACTGACCTGGGACACAGGGCATGTCAGATCTGACCCCAGCCCTGCCACCCATCCTGTGCATCCTCCGGCAAGTACCTTCCCCTCTCTGTGCCTCCCCTCCCCCCTCTGCGCAGGGCTCAGCACCAGCACTCCTAGGGTCCTCCCCTCAAGGATCCTCCCCCGGATGCAGGATCCCCACTGGGTGGGCCAACACAGAAGGGCGGGGCGTGTCACTGTTAGTCATTCTCTTCCCTCTCCCTCCCCTTCCATTCCTCCAGGGCTCATGGATACCCTGTGCTTCTCACCAGGCCCTGCCCCGTCCTGAGGGCGGGCAGACAGAGCAGGGTCCTTCCTGGCCCCAGGTGCCTCCTACCTCCCAGGACAGAGGTGAGACCCAGTGGGGGGCCTGGGACTTGGGGCGGTGAGAGGCTTTGCCATCTGGAGTGGGACAAAGGTCATTCTTGGATCCGTGGGTGTTATGAGGGCCCCCTTGTACCCTGTTAGATAGACCTGTGACATCATCAGGACCATGGGTTTACGTACTCCCCTCACTGAGGAAATGTATGGGAGACCCCAGTTTCCAGGCCTGGGTCCTAGTGGTTCACCTGTCCCGAGCCTGGCTGCCTCGGGGCTGGAATCCCGGGAGCCCTGTGCCCCTGCACGTGGGAGGACACCGCCCGGGGGAGGGACTGGACGTGCTGCCCAGCGGCAGGGAGGAGCCCTGGGAGGGTGCCCAGGGAGGAGGCCGAGAGCTGTCTGCTCTGCCAGGCCCCCGGGCCCCCAACCTGCTGCTCGCCCGCTGCCAGCTCACTCCGCTCTCCCTCAGGTGACAGAGATGCTGAGTGTCCCCTGGAGTCTGCTCCCTGCACCCCTGGCCCCCGCCCCTGGTGGGGTCCAGCCTCCTCGCCGGAGCCCAGCAGTCCTGAGTCTGAGAGCAGAGGCCCCGGGCCCAGGCCCAGCCCCGTGTCCTCATCCTCCTGGGAAGGCAGCCCGCAGCCCCAGGGCTGCCACCCCAGCAGCGCCTTCCCCACGTGGACACTAGACACTTCCCGCCTGGCCCTCCTGGAGACGCAGGTGGCACAGCCACGGTCCTCAGAGACAGAGGAGGCCTCCGAGGCCCCGGACCCAGGGGAGGTGGTGAAGAGTGAGGGTCCTGCGGGCACTGCCCATGCTGGAGTTGTCCAGCCCGATGCTCACCTGGCTTCCACGGGAGGGTAAGTGCGGGCTGGCAACGGCTCCTCCTTGGGCGTGTCTGGGAGTCCTGGTCTGGGAGCGGGAGCAGCGCACGCAGGGATTTGGCGCTCCTGTCAGTTAAATGGGATCGTGCGCCTGGCACCAGCAGGGCTCTGAGGAAGACAGGGCAGGTTTGGAAGCATCGGACACCCAAGAGCAGACAGTCATACACACAGGGTGGGATCTGAGCCAGAGCCTGTCCAAGGCTGGACTGCAGGAGGGGCGAGTGTCTAGGAAACCTAGCCAGGCCCATGTGCCCCGAGAGAGGGGAGCCACGCCAGGCAGGTGTGGGTCGTGGGAGGTCAGAGCACGGGATGTGGGGTGACACAGATTTTGACTCTGAGGAGGCATCTGGGAGAAGTTAACGTAGGAGCCTGGGCCCGGGAACTGGCTCAGATCTCAGGGGAGCCGGAGCACCACTGCGGGCTTTCCTGGGACCAAGGGAAGGGGTCTGGGGGTCCAGAGCAGGCCCGAGTAACCCAGAACTGAAGCCAGAGGTAGGAACGGGCCAGGTGGGAAGGCAGCCTCGTTTCGCCCCTCCAGATGCTGGGTGAAGACACAAGCGCCTGGTGTCCCACTGGGAAAGGGGGTTGTTCTTTGGCTGGTGAAGGAGAGGTCATGCTGGAGAGGCCAGGAGGAAGCAGTGGTGGTGCAGGTCCTGGACTTGAAGCTGCACTGCCTGCAGGGTCAACTCCACTCCCCTCCCAGTGCCCCTGGGTGTGACTCAGAGCCCATTCTATCAGATCACAGAGCCCATCCTATCAGATCACAGAGCCCATCCAATCACATCACAGAGCTCATCCTATCAGATCACAGAGCCCATCCTATTGGATCACAGAGCCCTTCCTATGACATCACAGGGCCCATCCTATCACATCACAGAGCTCATCCTATCAGGATCACAGAGGCCACCCTATCAGATCACAGAGCACATCCTATTACATCAAAGAGCCCTTCCTATCAGATCACAGAGCCCCTCCTATGACATCACAGAGCTCATCCTATTGGATCAGAGAGCCCATCCTATCACATCACAGAGCCAATCCTATCGCATCACAGAGCCCATCCTATCAGGATCACAGAGGCTATCGTATCAGATCACAGAGCTCATCCTATTGGATCACAGAGCCCTTTCTATCAGATAACACAGCCCATCCTATTGGATCACAGAGCTCTTCCTATCAGGATCACAGAGCCCATCCTATCAGATCAGAGAGCCCGTACAATTGGATCACAGAGCCCCTCCTATCTCATCACAGAACCCATCCTATCAGGATCACAGAGCTCATCCTATCAGATCACAGAGCTCATCCTATCAGGATCACAGAGGCTATCGTACCAGATCACAGAGCTCATCCTATCAGGATCACAGAGGCTATCGTACCAGATCACAGAGCTCATCCTATCAGGATCACAGAGGCTATCGTACCAGATCACAGAGCTCATCCTATCAGGATCACAGAGGCTATCGTACCAGATCACAGAGCTCATCCTATCAGGATCACAGAGGCTATCGTACCAGATCACAGAGCTCATCCTATCAGATCACAGAGCTCATCCTATCAGGATCACAGAGCTAATCCTATTAGATAACAGAGCCCATCCAATTGGATCACTGAGCCCTTCCTATCACATCACAGAGCTCATTCTATCAGGGTCACAGAGCCCATCCTATCAGATCAGAGTGCTCATCCTATTGGATCACAGAGCCCTTTCTATCAGATAACAGAGCCCATCCTATTGGATCACAGAGCTCTTCCTATCACATCACAGAGCTCATCCTATCAGATCACACAGCCCATCCTATCACATGACAGAGCTCATCCAATCAGGATCACAGAGCCCAGCCTATCAGATCACAGAGCCCATCCAATTGGATCACAGAGCCTTCCTATCACATCAAAGAGCTCAGCCTATCAGGATCACAGAGCTAAACCTATCAGATCACAGAGCTCATCCTATTGGATCACAGAGCCCATTCTATCAGATAACACAGCCCATCCTATTGGATCACAGAGCTCTTCCTATCAGGATCACGGAGCCCATCCTATCAGATCAGAGAGCCCATACAATTGGATCACAGAGCACATCCTATCAGATCACAGAGCCCATCCAATTGTATCACAGAGCCCTTCCTATCTTATCACAGAACCCATCCTATCATATCACACAGCTCATCCTATAAGGATCACAGAGCCCGTCCTACCAGATCACAGAACCCATCAAATTGGATTACAGAGCCTTTCCTATCACATCACATTTCCCATCCTATCACATCAGAGTTCATCCTATCAGGATCACAGAGCCCATCCTATTGGATCACAGAGCCCTTTACATCATATCACAGAGCCTATATTATCGGATCATGGAGTCCATCCTATTGGATCACAGAGCCCTTTCTATCAGATAACAGAGCCCATCCTGTTGGATCACAGAGCTCATCCCATAGGATCACAGAGCCCATCCTATCTGGTCACAGAGCTCATCCTATCACATCACCGAGCCCATCCAATCAGATCACAGAGCCCTCCTCCTCGGGCACCTGGCCACTCCACTGTCCTTGGAGATGCAGAGGCTGGGCCATCACCGGGGCTCAAAATCTAGACAGAGAGGGGCCCTCTCCCAAATCCAGTTACTTCAGCCCAAAGTAAATCAAGAGACCCATCTCAAATGAGAACCATACTTCTGGAGTAAATAATGAAAGGGTTAATTGGGGCCTTTCTTGGTAAATGATACTAAAGATTCCATAAATAAGCATATTAGTCTTATATTTAACACAATATATATATAGGTTTAATTTTCCTGGCACAAGCTTGCTGGCCCAATAACTATCTTTCATTCACACTCGACTTTCACAGTGAGATGACCAAGGCTTATTTCATTTCAGTAACAGCTCAGTTAAGATACAAATCGCTCGTGAAAGTGTACAATCCGTGACAATTTATATTTGCAGAGGGGGTTTTTCCCTCCCAAGTGTCTCTCCGTCCCGATACCATTTTAGGAAGAGCACCAGTTGACAGGGTCATTTTGGTAAAGTATTTTAGGGCTTCGTCCGCCGATCATCCATCGAGTTAGTTGTTTGTAGATGGGACAAGCGTGTCTGTTTCACTTCCTGCTCTTCACTGTTCGCTGGACTAACTCTCCCGGCTTCTCGTCAGTGGCTTTCCGTGTGGTTCCTGGCATCTTCCCGCATCACTTTCCCCAACTTCATCAAAGCCTGCGAGTTTTTGCCAGATTTGTAACTACTTTTCAGTTGGTTTGTATTCTGTTTGCCCAGCCCTGTTGGGTGTGTCTGAGCGTCAGGACCTTGTAAGAAGTTCCCAGCAGACACGGAGCCCGTTCCTTGGAGAGAGGGCCCTTATCAGTGAGATTCTCATGTTAGGATGAGTTCTGCTTCCCTGCACAATCCCTCACTGTGGCAGCTTGGATAGGGAGCATTCAGATAATGACGATACCAGGGCGGGTGGTGCTGTTGCCAGGGAAACCGGAGCATCCGGTGGAGGTGGGATTGGTGACCTCTGAGGGTCTGCGTGCCAGACTGAGTCGGTGGGGTGGCCGGCCAGCACCAACTCGTGCCAGGCCACCATCTTGTCCTGTCTCCACGGGAAGGCCTTCCATAGCACCAGGGAGACACAGCGCAGGCCAACACCCCGCCTTTGCCACCCCGAAGCCAGCCTGGCTTCCTCTTCTTGCCTCATCCAAGCACCTTCCTGAGTCCTAGGTCTGGCCGGTCGCAGGTCTGGCCGTGGAAGCTGGAGCTGGAGGGTGTGGGAGGGGCAGGCGTTCTGAGGGCTCCTGCGCGACCTGACCCAGAACCCATGTGTGCCCATCCACTGACGGCCTTTTGCAGGCTTCCTGAGAGCCCCGTGCCCCAAGGCAAGTCCCCAGAGGAGGGCCAGGGGCTGCAGGCTGCAGACAAGCTGGCCAACGGCGTCAGGACGGACAAGCGGGCCTGGGACCTGGCCTCCCGCCTCTATCGCCTGGAGGGTTTCCGGAAGTCCGAGGTGGCCGTGCACCTGCGGAAGAAGTAAGGGGCTCAGCCTGAGCGAGGGGCCCTTCCCTTGGGTGAGGCGGGCAGGCTTGCTCCACCATCCACCCCTCCCCAACCCTTCAGCCCATTGCTGCCCTCTCACCCCATGGTCCTGTCCTGGTTGTACCCCTCCCCTGTCCAAGCCTTCCTCTTCCTGTCATACTGGTGTCACCCCTTCTCCACACACTTGACCCAGCTTAGAGCCGCTGTTTTGGCCACTGCCTCCCAGCCCTGATCACATGTGGCCCTGCCACCCAGCATGAGGCGGGGGCCGCTACAGATCAGACCCTGGCTGTCCCTTGCCCTCTCGGGTCCCAGGGTCCGGCTGGCTGGGCCTTTGCCTTGCTTGGGGCCCCCAGTCCCAATTCCCGGATCCTGGGACATGCAGGCCTGGGGTTCCCCCTGCGCTTGTGCCTCCTGCCTCCTCCTAACCCAGACATGATCTCCACTTCCCTCCACAGCAATGACTTCAGCAGGGCTGTGGCTCAGGAGTACCTGTCCTTCTTCCAGTTCGGCGGCCAGAGCCTGGACCGGGCCCTTCGGTAATGCCTGGGCCCTCCCTGGGGAGGAGGGGTGGCCGGGCAGACCCTGCCCGAGCCTAGGGCCTGCTGTCTAGCCCGGGCCTGTTCTGATCCTGGCCTCCTCCAGGAGCTTCCTCCAGGCGCTGGTGCTCAGCGGGGAGACCCAGGAGCGGGAGCGAGTCCTGTTCCAGTTCTCCAGGCGCTTCCACCACTGCAACCCCGGGCTCTTCTCCTCAGTAGGTAGGAGGGCAGGGCTCCGGTGCCACGGGCGGAGGGAGCCTGCTTGGGAGTTCCCTGGTGGCAGCGGGTGGGTGTGCTTGGGGGCTGTGGAGAACCAGAAGCACTTGGGGGTGCCCTGCCCAGTGTGGGCAGAGGGAGAGCCGAGTCCGGTCCCAGCACTTTCTCTCCACTCGCCTCCCTGGGACAGATTCTGTGCACACCTTGACGTGCGCCATCATGCTCCTGAACACGGACCTGCACGGCCAGGTGAGCAGGTGGGGAGAGCGTCTGTGGGACCCGAGGCCTAGGAGGGGCCAGGAAGGACCGTGGGGAACTGGAGAAGGCTCCAGGATGGCTGGCCGGGCGCTTCCTCTTGGTGGGGGTGCCAGCTGTCCCGCTTCTCTCCGTGCCGCAGAACATTGGGAAGAGCATGAGCTGCCAGGAATTCATAAGCAACCTGAATGGCCTGCAGGACGGCGGGAACTTCCCCAAGGAGCTGCTGAAGGTGCGCTGCCAGGGCTGCCCACGGAAGGCTCCCTCCCTCCCAGGGCCTGAGCCGGGCTCCTGGTCCCCAGGGAGGACAGGGCCCCTTGACTGACTGCAGTGTCACCGGGGGATTTGTTAGCTTGTGCAAATGCCCAGCCCTGCCCCCGGCCTCCTGGACCAGACTTCTGGGGCTGCAGCCCCCGAAATGGTCACAGAGCTCAATTCTGAGGCCTGCGAAATCGGAGAAGCACTGTTTTTTTCTTCTCTAAGTGAAAAGAGGCAAAACTTCAAAAAGAGAAAGCCTAGAGCCAGTGCTCTGGCGTTTGAGTTCTTGTCTTGGACAGTGTAACCTGTGGCCAACTTGGGTTCCTCCTGGGGTCGAACCACTGAAGTATTGTTGTCACAACGACATCAAGTGAGTCAGGAGCTCACACAGTGCCTGGCACACAGTGTGCTCTTCATTAGCAATCGCAGCATTTCTTGAGCACTTGTTAGGTGCCAGGCACCTGCAGGTGTGCCCAGGACTACACAAAGCTGGCAGGATGCATCTATGTGAATAGTCTGTTACATCATGTGAAAGCTCAGCACCTCATTCATTCATTCACTGTAGTCATTGGCCCCATCAGTCGGCCAGCCCTGCTCTGGCAGCCCCCTCCGTGCAGGATGGTATGTGGATGAGTCCTTTCCCTTGGAGAGAAGAAGTTCAGGCCTCGCTGAGCTCAGGCGGAGACTAGGACAGCACGATGTCCAGCACATGGCAAATGCTCCATGGACGGCGGCATGCGTGTGTGCGTGCACAGATGAGCTCCTTCCCATTCGCGGAAGGGGGGCAACTGTGTTGGGTGGAAGAGGCAGGCTGCAGCACCCCCACCCTACTTCTGCCAGACGGAGTTTGGGCCTCGCAGCCTGAGGCTTCCTGACCACCGTGTGCCTCTGTTCCAGGCCCTGTACTGGTCTATCCGGAGTGAGAAGCTGGAGTGGGCTGTGTAAGTGACCTTCCCTCCCCACACTCCTCTCTTACCTCCCCATCCTTCCCCTCCCCCAGCCCACCTGAGGGCGGGTAACACCTGGAGGAGCCAGAGGCAGGGGGTTGGGGGATGGGGGAGTGGGGGGCGCCTTGGGGAAGACAGGAACAGATGGTTGGCTTTGAAAGATTTCTTCTGGGGTGACCTGAGATGTGGCTCCCCAGTGAGAGAGAAATGGTGGGGGGCCCTGTCAGTACCTCAGCCTGCTTCTCTCTGTTCAGGGACGAAGAAGACACAGCCAGACCTGAGAAGGCCCGGTCCTCACCAGTCGGCGGCAAGATGAGCAGCCCCTTCCTCCAGCCGGCCCTGGACCCCACGGGGCCCACCTACAAGCAGGGCATCCTGGCTCGGAAGATGCATCACGACGTGGACGGCAAGAAGAGTGGGTGTCGGCTGCCGTGCGGGCCTCTGTCTGGGTGGGGGTGCGGGGGGCTCTGCTCAGGGACATGTGCTGATGTGTGAGCAGGGTAACTGCCTCGACAGTGACTGTGTGAGGCACAGCCGGGAGGGTGGGGGGCAGACCCAGGAGGGACCCGCTATTCCTGCCCCTGAGCCCCGTGCTGAGGCAGAAGCCAGACAAGCACGTCGGTGTGTGACTGTAGGAAGGGCCAGATCAAGGATGGGCTATGGAGGGGGCAAGGCTTGGGGTTCTGTTTTGGGGTGGATGTAAGAGACAACGGGTTCAGGCTCCTGGGAAATGATGAATCTGAACCGAACCTCGGAAGGTCTGGGTATTTGAAGTTGGGCAGAGGGTGTCCCCCATGAAGAAGGAGCAGACATAGTTTGTTCCAAACATGGCGTGTGAAAGAGGACGCTGGGAAACGCACTGGGGGCAGCATCGCCCGGGTCTGCAGTTGGGCCTCATGCCCAGATGGCTGGAGCTGTAGAGCAGGGCAACAGCATGATGAGGGCACCAGCATCCCACAGGCCCTTGCACGCGGTGACCACAGGGAGCAGGCCCTCTCCTGCCCACGGGCTCCAGCCCCGTGCCTCTCGGGAAGGGCCCAGGAAGTTGAGGTCATCTGCAGGGCCCTGAAGGACATCCGAGCTGGGGAGGGCCCTGAAGGATGTCCAAGCTGGGGCTGTGCTTGTGTCTGGAGACGGGATGGCCTGTCGAATTTGTTGTCTGTCAATAGTTCTCATCTGTTTGGGTTTCCACGGTGACTGCCTGTGTGTAGGGCGTGGCCCATGCCTGTTTGTGACTGTGTTTTGTGTGTCTGAGTGATTCTGTGCACCGGGGGCTGGGGGCTGGAGCTGGTGTGAGGGGTGAAAAGCGGGGGCCTGGGAGTGTCTGTGGGTATCTGGGTGGGGTGCCCCCACTCACCTGTGCGTTCCGCTCTTGGGCAGCGCCATGGGGCAAGCGTGGCTGGAAGATGCTCCACACCTTGCTCCGAGGGATGGTCCTCTACTTCCTGAAGGTAGGCAGGGTGTCCAC